GGTCGCTATGGAGTTGTACCAAAAATTCCTTGTTGCTACGGGAGTTAACTCCGGAGTTACCCAACACTGATTAATTCGAATAATAATAATAATAATAATATGTCATTTACGTATAATTAAGGGTACCCTGCATTCCAGAAGAATGACTTATCAGAAAAATTTGAAATTTTCAGAGTAGATAGATCTTGACAAATAGAACAAAAGGATGCTATGTTCGATCGAATTGAAATTCTTTTTTGCAGAGACTAGATACTATTAAGAATGAGTATCGGATGTACTAGACTGGAGAAGCTAAGACGTTTCTGGAATTGATCATTTCGAGTGGTACTCATACGATTGTGTTTATTTCTTTGAATTAATACTATTGTGTATGATCCATTCAAAAGTTAAGATTTTAATCTGTCCGATGACCATCTACCCTAGGGTGAAAATGTCAGAGAGAGCATCTGTTCTAGATACATTTTATCTAGATTTTCTCTTTGAAGAAGGAAAACAGCTACTTTTAGGAATACAAGCATGTAGATGTAGTAGGATAAACATAAATTCTAGGAGATTCATCTTGATCTTCGGAACAACCCAGTGCCTTTGATCCACACACGGGATGGGATACTTTAAAAAACCTAAACTGTATTTTTTCTCTATCGAACATTAATGATAAGTGCTTCTTTTTTTCTTGTAAATAATGAATACAAAATTGTTTCTAAGATTCTAAAGTATTTTATTAGTCGCGCTTCTATAATTAAAATTGAAAATATTTCTAATAATATTTTGTTTTATTTAATTATCTTTTTTAGAATATGTCTTCGTGAACTTAAAGACAAAGAACATTTATTATTACCATGTTTTCTTGCCGATCATGATAATAGTAATACAGCTGGTAGTGGACCAACACCAAGTAGTAATGATGAAAGTCAATTATCTCAACAAATTGATATTGTTACTCCATTAATTCCACCAATTATAAATAATCAACAAACAGTAAAACCATCATCACCAGCACGTTTTATAACTCCATCATTATCATCTATTCGTACAATAAATAATGATAAAAATGAACCAGTATATATTCCTATAATAAATAATATTAATCATAATAATCAATCAGATACACCAGTTATTATTAGTAAACGTATATCATCAACAAGTACTTGTTTAACAGAAAAACAAAAAGAAAAACTACGTAAACGTCAAATAATACCATTACTTTGTGATGATATTAGTAATAATACACAATCAAATTCATGTACAATTGATACATTAACTATGGAAAATATGAAAACTAATTATTCATTACAAAATGAAAATAAACAAATAACAAGTTTATGTCTTTTTAAACAAACTATACCAGATTCAACAATAGAATCTATAACAAAATCTAATGAAATAGAAAAATCTAATGAAATAGAAAAATCTATTGAAGATATTCCTGAAGAATCATCAATTTCAAAAAAATTACGTCGTTCATGTCGTCCATCATTATCAGCAAGAAAAAGTTTAGTTAATAATACAAAAAGAAAACGTATACTTCCATTAACAAATGAATTAACTAAAATAACATCAAATATAATTGATACACAAATTGAACAAATAAAAAAACAACCAATTAAAAGTATACTTAAACGTTTATCACCAAATAAGCCACGACAAGATCATACACGTCATGTTGCTTTTCATGATCAAGTTAAAGTTTTAGTATTTGCATCACCATCACGTCGTGATTTAAATTTACAACAAAAAAAGAAAAGTACAAATAAAGATGAAATAAAATCACCAACAAGAATTCTATCAAAAGAAAATCTTCCATTAAGAAAACAATCAATATCAACTAGATGTTTAAATACAATGGATAATACTGAACAAATTATTGTATCATCATCAATTAACGATAATAATAATAATAATAATAGTAATACTAAACCACGTTCATCAAAATTATTTCATCCAAATGATGCTTTAGCTGATTGGACACAAAATCATGAAATAAATGAGGTAAATATTCAAAATAAAATTAATATTTATTAGTATTGTTATATATATATGTTGTCTATTCAACAGTGGAGTGGAGTTTGTTGAGTCCGGTTGATATGTTTTATTCCTGACTAGATGATCTGCACTCCTCAGTTGATATAATTGTTCTATATTGTATTGACTTGTTACATCAGTTCATTGTCTCCTAGTCACTTTGATTATGTTAATTAGTGACTAGAGATTTTGCACTGTTGAAATTTGCTCATTGTTCATCATTGTTTGCTTTATTTGTTTAGTTTAAAAAAATTAATAAGTAAGCGAATTATCATTATAATAATGATGAATTTTTACGTGAAAATGTTAATTTTCTTTGTAATAAAAATAAAATCGATTTTTCAAGTTTAGTTGTATTATATACACTACTAATCAAAAATATAAGATCAATGTATTTTTGATTTTTTTAAAGATATCAAGCATTTAAATAAAATTCAAATAGTTGTTGTTAAAAACCAATACAGTTCTAGAAATTATCAACAAGTAGAGAATTCCATTAAATTGAATAAATTAAACATTTCACGTTGAAATTCTCATCTAAAAAATTATAATTAACACTAGAATATTCATTGTAATTTTTCTGGAAATATTTAATTAATTTTTTTTGTTTTGGTTATTGTTATATTATCTGAATTTAATTGTTATTTTTTATTTTAGTCATCTCTTAATTCCAATGAAAAAAATTCATCTGTATCATTTGCAAACAAAATTAATGATGCCATTTTTCCAAGTTTAATTGATTGTAATAAACCAATTGAGAATTTAATGAATCTTTTATATGATAATCGATGGTATTTTATTTTTGTTTGTTTGTTTTTTTTAAACTAATGAAAATTTTATTCAAATATCTTATTTTTAGTTCTACAAGTACAATTGACTATTTTTATTCAAATAATATTAAAACTATTGGTGATATAGCACGATTAACATCTGCTCAAATTGAAATTTATCCAATTCCATCACCAAAATTAATTAATATTCAAAAAGCATTTTCTTTATATGAAGAACAATTAACGAAATCTTCATCGATATCACCACCAATTGATAATATAAATGAATCTCTTATGCCAATAGCAAGTACATCTGAAGAAATAAATCGTATGTATTGAATTTAATCAAATCAAGAAAAATTTCTATTTTATTCTTTTTTTTTTTTGTTTGCTCTAGCTAATAATGAAAATATATCTACAATAGAATCATCTTCAATACCAATAGCAATGATTACAAATCAACATGATAAATTATATGATGTTGATACATTAATTGATAGTCTTGATTATGAAAAACTTTATTTAAATGATAAAATATCATCACCTATAAATCAAACAAATTTTCTACGTACAAGATATCAAAAATGTTTAATAGATCGACAAGAATCAAATTCATCACAAAAATATTATTTAACACCAATTAATAAAAGCAATGAACATGAACAAAATAATTCACGATCATTAAAAACAGAACCTATATCAAATATAACACTTGGTGATCGTTTACAAAAAGCAGCTGATATATATAAAACAAAAGGTATACTTCCATTCGATAATGATTATATTGAATTAATTCGTCAGTTATTTAATAATTCATCATTAACACATCTTGAACGATTACATTTAAACACTTTATTTCTTAATCAATAAAGTTTTTTCTTTTTGTCTTTTGTTATCGTAGATATGTTTTTTTTTCTCATTCCATGTCAGATATATAATATTTTTCTCTATTATTTTTTTTTCTTTTGTGATCTTTGCCAGATATGAATCTGTTTTTTTTCGAAATGATGTACTAGTAAAAAAAAAACGAACTATATACATATGTTGATTTAATGTATATAACATATATATATTTGATATAAGATGAAAACGTCATATATAATAAAAGAAAAACAACTTGACGAAGTTAACATATGTTTTATTACGATATAGAAAATAAATTATCTTATAAATAACAGACGTACATACGTTACAAGAATGTTAAAAAATACTACCAATCAAGATAAAATACAACTACAAAAACTAATCGACTGTCATCGCCCACTCTAAAAAAATTCCTATTTATAGACATACATCAACAACAATCTTTATATTGTGTTATTTCTCCATCTATTTTTTTCATTGTATACCATAATCAACAAACGATTTCTTTCATCTTTCTTCAGGTATATATATAAAATCCTACACGTTCATTATCACTTTATAGTGAGTTCATTTGACCCTCGCACTGTCATGTTTCACATTTTGTTCTATTCTTCTTCTCGTTTTACATGTATATATGTATATGTTACAGCACTATCAGGTCAACTCGCTTCTTTCTATATTTGTACATGTATAGTGATGAAACTTACTAACCAAAAAGGGCATCTCTCGTAATAAACCAAGCTTACTCTCTTTCGATGAATTATGTAATATTCTTCTTTTTTTTTTCTCTTTCTCTTCTTGCACACGCTCGACTCATATGATAGATAGTATGATGTAAGATTGAACAGAAGAAAGCAGTAAAAAAAAAGAAAAAAAGAGCGAACGAACACAAAGATTACGACGGAAGGTCCTTTTTTTTTCTTTTCTTTTGCAGCGCACATACGCAACATATTCTTCTCTATACCATCACGCAATACATAGAGAAAAAAAAATGAGAGAAAGAATGTAACTTGAATTGCTTTGCATCACGAGTACAATTCTGCTATTCAATCATCATTACGAAAAAAACCAGAGAATAAGCGAACAGTGGTACCATGTAGTCGGTTTAGGTTTAACCGACAGTGCCGTCCTTATGGGAACGGTTATAGAACAAAAGCCTATGGAAAAAATGGATTTACAAGGTAAAAAAATTTCTTTTTTGAAAGATAATTCAATAGAACTTTCTTTTTTGCTTTTCCCAAGCGATCGAAAAATTCTATGAACTTTTTAATTTATACATTTTATCTATAGTTTTCAACAAATTGAATGACAAATTTCTGGCATTTTTCATTCATTGTTACTCTAATGGTTCTAAATTCTGTCACTGTCATTGGAAAACCCATTCTTTTGGCATGTGATACATATGCGACGTCAGCAACATGTCCTAGAATATCATCAGAAAGCAATAATGATTGTGAGACATGTTGTAGCATGTTATTAGAACGTATGTTCGATTGTCCACCATGTCGTTATTTTGTTCTTAATAATCGTCGACAAGGATCGAGCTGTTTTTGTACAGTATGCTTTAAACAACATCGTCATCGACGTCGTCATCAACATGAACGAAATGAGCAAATTTTCCCTTCCCGTTTTGATGTTTAACCCTTTCGTTTTTCTTTTTTGTCATGTTTTCTTGTTCCGAATATTCTACTCTGGTTTCTTGCTTCTGAATTTTTCTATCCTATGTAAAAATTTTTTTTCCATTTTTTTATCTTATTGGCGAGGCATATGTAACAGTGATGTGTGTACAAAGGATATTAGAGCATAGTTATACATTAAATTGGCTATCATAACAAATTCTTGTCTTAAACAAAAGAATTTCATTAGAAAATCGTAAGTAGTTAATAAGAAATCATACATATGGAAATATGATTATGATTGATAAGTTGAACAGAAAGAATAAATAATTAATTTATTTACATAATATTTATAGCTTAAATTTAGTTATGAATAATTAACTATTGGTTTATAATAGAAGAATTATGAAAAGAAAATTCTTCAACTTCAATAGTATTTTAAAATGATGAATTAGATTATAAACGGTATTGAATCAATTTCTTTTATTAACAAAAAAAAAAAAAAAACAAATATTTACTACATTTTAATCATTACAATCTATGTATACATATATCAAATAAAATCATTCATATAATGAATCAATACTTTCTTATTCAATCATAATAATTGAACTATTTGCTGGTCAATAATTACACGATAGTGCTTTTGTTTATGTTGATATATGAATACATATTTAGATAATAAATGTTATATCTATTGTATTCTTTTGTTTCTTTATTATGTATTATATATATTAATGCAAAATTTCTACTATTATTAGAAGAATGATTGTTTATAAAAAAAAAAAAAAAGAAACAAACGTGTTAAAATTTATAGATTTTTCTTTTCATATTTTTCTCGATGTTTTTGAATAACATATTGAAAATATTTTGCACCATCACGTAATGTACGTTCTTGTGTTTGTAAATCAACATGATATAAACCAAATTTCATATGATAACCCTAGAATAATCAAATCATTTTCATATAAGAATAAATAAACGAAGAGAGAAAGGTTGTTTTTTTTTTCTTACTTCTGCCCATTCAAAATTATCAATTAAACTCCAATAAAAATAACCTCTTATATCACAATGAGCTTCATTAATAGCTCGACTTAATGCATAAAGATATCGTCTTAAAAATAAATGACGTCGATCATCATATCGATCAGCAATACCATTTTCTGTTATATAAATTGGTATACGAGGTAATTCATTTTTAAGACGAACACAAGCACGATATAAACCTTCAGGATATAATGCATAAGGCATATCAGTCATAAGACTACTACCACTATCATCTTGACGATGTAAAATTTCAAATGGTGGTTGTTTAAATAAATTAAAACGAATAAGAAAATGTGAATAATAATTTAATCCAATAAAATCATTTGTATATGGTGCACGTAAATTTACATATGTTCGATGTATTGAACCAGGCATTGTCCATTTTAGAGAACCTGTTCGAAAGAAATCTAATATACATCCATTCATACCATGATCTAATATACGACTTGCATATATATCTAATGGATTAAGTGGATTCCATGGATCAAATTGAAATATATCTTTAACAATACCAATCGAATGTTGTTCTGGTTGACGAGCAATTTTTTTAATATTATCATAAATTTCAACATGAGCTTGTAAAAGATGTTGAAGAACAAGAGAAGCTTCATTCGCTTGAGATCTATGACCTGGTGGAAAGACACCATTAAAATAACCACCACTAACATATACTTCTGGTTCATTTATTGTACACCACATATGACATTCATCTTCGAATTCTCGAAACATATCAATAACAAAACGAACAAATGTTTCTATATTAGATGAGTTAAGAAAAGCTGAACGTTGTTCAAACCATAACGGATGAACAAAATGATGAAATGTAATCATTGGTATAATTGATTGTCTATGTAATTCTTTTAATTCATCATGATAATGAGCAAGTATATCTTTATCATATTGTCCTTCAATCGGTTCAATTTTATCCCAAGCTAAAGAAAATCGATAAGCATTACAACCAAGTGTACGCATTAATTGAGTATCTTCTTTATATCGATGATAGTGATCAACAGCCATTCCACATCGTTGACCATGTTTAATTCCTGCAGGTTCCCATTGAGACCAATTTGAAGCAACAGGTGCTTTATCACCTGATCCTTCACATTGATAAGAAGCTGCTGCTGTACCCCATAAAAAATTTTCTGGAAAAGATATATTGTCTGTATCAATAAAAATTCGTTTTTCTTCATTGCCATTATCCCAACACCAATATAAAGATGAATGTACATACGATAAATACCATCGACAAATAATTACTATGGTAACAATTAACAAAATTATTACTAAAGATAGCATGTTTAGTAATCTTCAAAAAAAAACGAGAAACAAAAAGATTACTGTTGATGTTGTTCTTTAGAGAAATGATAAGAAAAGTTTTTTTTTGGTTTGTTTGATTACTAGCGCCCTCAACTAGTTACTATTTTTGAACTGGTTAAGTATTTGACAAATAGGTGTGATATTTTATTACTAATGATGATTGAAAATAATAAACGATAATTTTGTTTTTAATTGAATATTTTCGGTATATTTTCTTTTACTATGTCAAGCTTTCTTAATCGTTTAAAAAATCTGAAAGTAAATGGAATAAAATTTTTTTTTTTTGTTTAGTTTTATTTTTTAAAATTATACTTTATTATTTTTCCTTATATATATAGACAGGACCCAATAATTCCCATAATAATGAAAGTGATACAGGATCGATTTGTTCATTTGATGAAGAAGTTTGTTTTCTTTTTTCTTGTTTTTGTTTTTCTATTATCTCTAAAAATCCTTTGTTCATTGATTTCAAAGGGTTTTCTTTGTCCAGTATGTCATCGTAAATTTGTTGATACAAATGGACTTGAACATCATTATTTAAAAGCTCATTCACAAGAACAAACAACAACAATCTATGAAGATACAAATGGAATTAAAAATTCATCAAAACATGGACAAATTGATGTAAAAAAAGAAAAATTTCAGCAAAAGTAAAAACCAGACATAAATATTCCATTTGAAATCAATTTTAGGATCCTCTTCAAGAAGCTGCAATATGGAAACAACAATTTTGCGTATCCGAAGAAAATCGTATGAAATGTAAATAGATTTTAATTATGTTACTTTTGTATATAAATTTCATTTCTTTTATTTTTTTTATTTTTTGTTTTTTAGTAAGTAGTGATTTAATGCAACAACGACAACGTGTTAGTGATCTTGAAGAAGAACTTGATTTATTACATAAACAATTACGTACTACACAATTGAAAGTTATTGACCAAGTAAACGATTTTTATATAAAAAAGATTTGTAAGAAAAAAAAAATATATATTTTGTTTTAGTCAAAAGAAATTGGAAATTTAAAAGCAACGAAAGATGTTTGTGATGCACAATTAGCTATGTTTACTGATGAACTTCTTCAAACACAAGTCAGACTTAAATATGAAACATTTTTTTTTATTTTATTTATTTATTTTTTTGAAGGATGAATTAAAAGAAAAACAAAATCAAGTTGATACTCTATGTAATGATCTTATACCGAGGTAAGAACATTTTTTTAAAGATTTATCTCTATTCAAAAAAACAAAACCTATTTTTATTAAATATTCAGTTTGTAAGTATTCTTTAAATGCCTTTGATGTTAAAGACTAATATAAAATAATTAGATTTGCATGTGTGCTTTGACCTTTTTGTTTTTTTATTATTTATATTAATCAAATTTATTTATATTATTGAATATTTTTTTTTAGACCGACAAACGATGATGTTGATGTATTGAAACGTGAATTGATTAGTGTTCAACAAAATATGAATGAAATGTCTTTAGAAAAAGAACAAAAAATGGAACAATTACGTATTTTTCTTTTAGAAATGTATGTAATTAAATATATTTTTCAGAGAAAATTTAAAATAAATATTATTATTTATTAGTTATGAATATACGAAACGATTTGATCAATTAGAAAATATATTTGATCAAGTGAGTTAGATTTTATTTTTTGTTTTAATTATTATTTAAATTTTCCATATAGAATATAGTTAATTATGATGAAATCGTAAATAATCATACATCTCATATTCAAAATGATATTACTCAATTAAAACAAGTTATTCATTTGACACGTGAACAAAAGGAAAAAATGGTTACAACTTTGAAACATATGCGTAATTGTTTAAATAAAGTGAGTTTTAGTTTTGTTCAAAAAAATATCTCAAATATAACCGTCCGTTTGAGTACCACCAGAAGTTCTCGGTGAGACTACGAAAAACCTGAAAGAGTTCCTCTCCATAAACCCTTGGAAGCCGAATCATGACTGTTTTACTTAATTTTCGACTTGAAATTTTACTTATAGCTAGGTCTAATAACCCTGAAAGTTTCCACCGAAAAGAATGTTCATTTGCTTAGACCTGTGACAGTTCCCGATCACAGAATTGAATTGGTGTCAGTCACTCAGTTCTTTTCAAAAGAAGTGGGTATGGTGAATAGGGGTACACAGTTCAATCTCGTGAGCGCAAGCTGTACACCCTACTGTTCACCAATTAGATTTTAGTAGAATTTTTTCTTCTATTGTAAGGACAAAACATAGCGTAGTTCGAGTTGGATATACTTGCATACTTTTCAAACACAATTCCAAGAATGGTACCAATTGGCGAATAGATGCTGGCATAAAAAGACAAAGAAAGTCTTATTGAATATAATGAATTTTATTAATATATATGAGGAGTAATATATTTAGAGACTCATTGATCTGTTGTATGATAAGATGTATCGATAAATTAATGCCTGCTTTCTGATGCAAGACATCAAGCTTGTTAGTTTATTGAATTCTAAAGTTTCTCAGTACATATAAACAGTATGTTATTTTTTCAACGATTTCAATTATTTTTGCGTGTGTTTTTTAAGTAAACGCGCTCAAAATCATTATTTATCATCAGATTTCTGCTCACATTGAAAAACAGAATCTTTCGATATCAGCTACAGCATGCTTCACGTATTATCTA